TTTCACGTAAAATATGGTAATTTTTTTTTTGATTATTAATAATAAAAAAAAAAAAAAAAAAGAAAAATAAAGAAAAATATTCAGTTATACACACAAAAAAAAAAAAAAAAGGAAACATTTCGAAGGAATAATAATAAAAATGATGACCAAGTTGGCAGTTTTGGAATAGGGTTAAGTAGAGAGATTTAATAGATACTCTTGTTATAAACAAATGAGAGATGAAAAAAAAAAAAAAAAAAGTACAAAAAAAAAAAAAGCAATTATTCGCCGAAAGATATGTACGATAAAAAAAGATTTGGGTTAAAAATAAGAAATATTTACTAAAAGAAAGGTAAGAATTGTTCGTTAGGATACCGTTCGCGTTAGACATATTGCCGTACTCTTACGATGTCACACGAACGTTCAATTATGTGCATCCAAGAACATTTCATTACCTGAATATTAATTTTTTGGTCCATACTTGATTGTATATTATAACTATATTCCTACGTCCATAATTTCTATCACTAGCGAAAATTTCGTCTCTCCCATTATCGCCGTGAAATTAAAAATCTTATAATTTGAGGGGGGGAATGGCTATGTACAAATAAAAAAATTTTTCTTTTTTTTTTTTTGAAGGATTTATCCGTCAAAAAAGAAAAAAAAAAAGCAAGTGAATGAGGATTTACAAATAAAAAAAAAAAAAGAAGTATAAACCATACTCTTACACATAAAAAAAATATGTATATATACATAGGACATATAATTACAATGGTATATATACCTATATATATATTTTAGAAATTTTTTTCGTAACCTGATATATTGCGAAGGAATATATATATATATGCGCTCGTCTAAAAGAAAAAAAAAAAAAAAACATGCATACAGCGTGTGTATACATATTGACGAGCACCGGATGAAATCATAAGGAGAAAGGTAATATGTAAGTAACGAGTAGGGAGAAAATCAATAATATATATACAAAAGCATCATCGATCAATTCTCTCGTTGTTTGATTTTACCTTTTCAAATATATTTACATATTTCACGTCCTTTTTTTTTTTTTGTTTTTCTTTTTTTTTTTTGTTTGTTTGTTTTTTTTTTCTTTGTATAATTGTTGAATCGGAGTTGTCAGACAACTTGATTATTCGAGTTGTCATATAGATGATGCATGAACCTAATGTCATCGGCCATTGCCACGTTCATACTCGAATTAACCGAATTCGCGTCGGCATTATGCGTCCAATGAGTTACGTCAAGCGTACCAGAACCTGTCACTTTTAGTTCGGTGGTATCTACAATGGGCAATTTGGTGGGTTTAAAGTCCAAACCAAAATTCCACATTGGTCGTCCTTTCAAAGCGGACCAAACAGTCGAATCAAAACTGTGACCCCGGAGCAATTCTGGAGCAGTGTGAGGATTAGCATCGTGCGAGTGGTTGGCGTTCAACATTGGACTTAAGTTGAATGCAAAGGAGGCCTGATTGGATGTCATGCTTGGCATGGTCGTTCCCAACTCTTGACCGTGTTCAGAAGGGAATCCCGAAACATTGGGCATATTGTACTTGTTTATGGGTTCGGAAAACCGACGCTTGACCTTGATTGGATCAACAGATGGAAATGTTTACTCCAAAGTGACAATACCGATATTTTACAATGCAATAAATAAATACTTCTATTACCTGTGCTGGTACAGCCAAAAATTGAGACATATTTGAATCATTATATAACGTCTCATCCTCGATAATTGTCGAAAGAGATCTTTTTTCTTCGGGCGTACCGAGCTTCATGTTAAGGATCGATGCCATCAACTCGGGACATGAATTACGACGTGTATTGGCATAGGCAGGGTGCATGGGCTCATTGCAGTCAATCGCATCTTTGTCGCTAATCACAGAACTGACGGTTGGACTGTACGTGTTGTATTCTGGGAAGTAATCCGAGATCGTAACAGCGGATTGAGGGGTAGATAAAGGGATAATATTGTCCATGTGATCGTAAACATAATCGGATGATGTCACGGTCGATGCTGAAGATATGTTCCACTCGCCGTCGTGAATCTGCCTACGCTGAACCATGTGTTCATATTCTTCGGGTGTATCCCAACTAGTCTTTAGGGGATTGATGTTTGGCTTTTGACGAGATCTCTTTGGCAATTGATCGTTTTCCGTTTCTTGGTCAAGAATCTCATCGACTGGTTTCGCTTGGTCCACAAAGAACGTCTCGCAATAAACTGCATTTGGACTGTTGACATTACTATCGGCTAATGCTTGATCACTGTTATCATCGGTTGATGAATCACTTTCGATGCTTTCCTGACCAACATTTTCGGCTACCGTCGAGTCCGCAGCGTAGAGTGTTTCCAAAGAGTCGCTTGGACTGGATACTGTCAATCCTTCAGGGTTACTCTCAGGGGAAGGATTGTCGTCAACAGACTTTTGTTTTTTTGCTTTTGCACGTCGGTTTTGAAACCAAACTTGCACGCCACGAGATGTCATGTTTAACTTTTGAGCCAACGCTTGACGAACAGCAGCATGGGGTTTTGGATTTTCGTTGAAGGCCTTTTCAAGAACTTTCAACTGTTGACGAGAAGTACGGCGTCTGTGCTTTACCTCAAACGGGTTATAAAAGGTGGGTTTGAATTCACCGTGAGGTGATTGATGGAAGGCGTCAAACATTTGTGGAGCTGGATGAGTTTGCTGTTGTGGTCGTTCTTGCGTTGTCGCTCCTATCGCTTCGGATAAATTATGTTCACTGAAGTTCATTTTGTTTTCAAAGTTTTGTTTCCGAAGAAGCTTTCAATTTATTAGATAGGCGACTTATGTTTTATATAAGGCCAAATTCAAACGAAGACGTGTCAATTTCAAAAGGAGACAGGGGCTGTGTCCCAATCTAAAGAGTGAGTTCAAGATACTAGTAGCATAAATAAAAACATTAAAAGCGATCAGATTACTAACTGAGCGAAAAAGCAGAAAAAAAAAAAAAAAGGAGGGTCGGAACAAGCCACACGCAGGGAGTTAGTTTATTGGCAGCTGTCGGAGGATGTAAGGAGCTATTACACGGATTTCCAATTTTAAAAACCGAGAGAGCGAATCAGATGATGGGTCAAGTATTAAATATGAAACGCCCATAATGGTTGCTGCGTTATGGGATGGCGCCATTTTAAACTATAGCACAACAGGAAATGGGATAAAAGTTTTATTAATATTATCACAATTTTTGGTGGTTTTAACTATCATTATTATTATTTTTTTTTTTTTTAGCAATTGACGTCCAAATTTGTCCTCAACTACCTTTTCCCTTTGCTTGCTACTTTCTTAGAGGATGTGGTGACTCTTTGAAGACTAGCACTAAAGCAACAGTGCTCAAGCCGCTCAAAAGAATGTAATCGGCAAATCGTTAAAATTTCCCTATTATTCGAATCAATATGGGGTAATACAGTCCCTTGTTATGTCCTTGAACCTCCAGTTTTTTACAAGATGGGTTTTTTTTTGATTATTAAATGCATCAAATGTTTACAAAATTAGTCTTCGCAGGTTACATGTTTTGATGATTGTATGAGTTTAGAGACATAACGAAATGTTGTGAGACAATACGAAATCTCTTCAATACAATATATTTATCTTTTTTTTTTTTTTTTTTTGAGAATGGATTCACTAATTTGGTTACGATTCAAAGGCGTGATATATACGAAATCTAGGATATTACTGCACATAAATACATACAGTATATCTATACTGGAGAGTCGTGGTTTTTTTCGTTTGCTCCTAATGCCGGTAAATTTCTTGCAACTAGACAGCCTTTGATTTTTGCCATGTTTATTTCATTGTTTCTTATGTTATTGGACAAATGGCATTTTTATGTTACATTTACAGTACGTACGTTGGAAACCATTATTGTTCTGCAGATTTACAATGACAGGATCGAGAACATGACTGTGTTAAACATTGCCATTAGTAATTGTGCTTCTATATAATACAGATGAGAACGTAGGAAACGTTTAACGCCAACATTTAACAATTTCAATGGTTCACTTTGTATTCCAATTTTTGTATTGATTGAAAAAAAAAAAAAGATGAATTTCTTTAGGAATAATATATATAAAAAAAAAAAATAAAGATCAGTGATTTTTTGATAAAAAAAAAAAGTAATCGTCATATTGAGACAAATAATCTTGTTTAAAATATAATATAATATTATTTTTAAAAAAACCTTTTTCCAATTTTAAGTTGTTTTCAACATGTAGACTTTTAACTATATTTCTTTCATGCTTTTTCTGTTTATACATATATATTTAATCTATAAACATATTGTATAATATCAATAATTTATTGAATCAAAAAAATAATAATTGATATTTTAAAAAACTTTTATATATAATTTTTATATATTAATTTATTTAAAATTTAAGTTTTATTTTTTTAAATAAAATTTAAAATAATATTATAATTTTTTATTGACTTGAATTATTCTTAACTTGCAATCAGGTTAAATTAAAGTTTATTATTAATTACATTTTATAATATAAAAGTTTTTAAATTTGATCTTAAAAAAATATTTTATTTTACAATAGAATTTAAAAAATTATTTATTTTTTTTTTAGTATATTGTAATTATTAAATACTTTATTAAGTTATTAAAATATAAAAAATTACAAAAAAAATTGAATTGATAAAAAGAAGAAAATTAAATTTAAAAATATATAAAAAAATTAAAATTTTTATTGAAAATCTATTTTTAGAACCTTTTTTTAATAAAAAGGTATTCTATTAATATTTTAAATTTTTAATAATATTATTTATTGAATCTTTACTTATTAAAAATCTTTATATTATATAGATATAAAAAATTTATTATCAAGATATCTAATTGAAATATTATAAAAATTACTAATAAAACTTTATTAATTAAAATAATAGAAATAAAAAGATTATAATCAAAAAATTATAAATTTTTTATTATATAAAGATTTGTTATTTGAATTTTGTTAAAAAAATATTTCTTAATTTTTTTTAATTATTATAAATTAAGATTTGTTTAAAAAAAAATAAAAACAACTTTTAAAATTACATTTTAAATTGTTTTTAAGAAAAATAATAAATTTTATTTAATATAAAAAATAAACTTTTCTTTTTATATATTTTTAAAAAATCAATAATAAAGTTTATTTTTTTTTTCAAGTATTTATAGTCTAACTAGATCATAGTTTATTAATCAATTAAAAATATAAGTACATTTTTATTTAAGCAATATAATACATACTATAATCAAACATCAATTCAAATTTAATTAACTCATTATAGGCAATAACAATTTTTAAGTTTGGCTTTAGAAATAATATTTTATTCCACAATAGATAATAAATAAAGCCTCTCTTAGTTCACCATTTCATTGTCAACAAGTTATCATTGCTTAATATTCTATCAAGCCATTGGAATATACAAAACTATAAAAGGATAAATTGAAAAAAAAAAGAAGAAATATATATAAAAATATTTAAGTAGATTATAAAAAAAAAAAAAGAAAAAAGAAAATAAAAATTTTTAGCTTTTTTTAAAGACCTGCTTCTCAAGACTTTTTCTCAATAAGAAATACCTGATTGAAATATTCTTTTTTCTTCTGATTATCTAAGAAACTTATCTATTTTTAATTTTGATTTCCTTATTATATATTAAATAAGAAAACTTATTACCTAATAAAAACTTTTACTTCTAGAATAAACTTGGTTCCAACCTTTTTTGGATAATAATTTATTGTTTATCTGTGATAGATAGATTACTTATAATAAATTCTAGGTTCTTATATAACTCAGTAGAGATAGAGCCATATTATTTCAATATAATATCTTTTGGCAGTCATACTTAGTTAAAAGAATTTTACTGGTAAATATCTTATACTACATAAAAAATCAGATTCTTCAACAATCTTTTTGCTTTGTAATAGTGAGAGAGTTTTAAAAGATATAAAAATTTCTATAAATTATGATATTCTTTAATATCTTCTAGGAAAATGTATTCTCAATTATAATTAAAGGATTGAAACTTAGTATAAACTAGAAACCATTTGATTTTATTATCTAATCAGAATAAAAAGAAAACCTTGGTCTTGAACTTTGCCTAATCAAAATTATAAGAGAGAAAGATCTCAACTTGAACAAATAATAGCTTTTTTACTATTTGGAGACTTGTTGTTTGTATTTTATTAACCTCAAAAACTTAATATATAGATTAACCCAATCGAAGAAATAAAGTAAAAATTGAGTATCAATAACTTTTTCTATCACTAATAATATTATCAAAACATATGAGATAATCAGTAGAAGCTTGTTTATATTTCAAAAACTAATATAATTTATGTCAACCAATTACCTTTGATAAAAATTTGTATTATAAAAAATTCAAGATTAAACTAATGTAAGCAAAATTCTCTAGAAAATTATAAAACTAAAAGCTTTAATAGAACTAAGATAGTTTAAAAAGAAAAAAAAAATAAACCTTTTAACTATAACAAAATCTCTATAAATCTTTTGCTTTAAAGATTAAAAGAGCCTTCAGGTACTTCACAGTCAGTTTTGCTTTCTTTAGAAACTTTTTTGTCATTAATATCAAAAGTGTTACTTAATTTTTCTTGATTATTGGAAATCAAGTTTTTGAATAAAGAGGTTTATAAACAATAAGAAAAAGATAAAATGACTTTTGAAGTTAGACTTTAAATTGTTTTAGAAAAAGTATTAAGACTTTATTAATACAAAAGTAAAAAACTTCTTGTGAATATTTTTTTGTGTATAATTAAAGGATCAACAAAAAAAAATATTTTTTTTTTATTAATAATAGAATTTTTAAATAATTAAAATTATTATTAAATTATGAAATTATTATTAATAGTTTATTTTTATATATTTTTCAAGTTTTAATTAATAAATAAAAAATTTAATTATTTATTAATTTTTTTTTTTTTTATTTCTTTTATCAGACTAGATATATATACCTTATTAAACCTATATATACTTTAAATTAAAAATATATTGTTAAAGTTAAGTTTCTATCTAACTCATTTATCTCTATTTTAAGAATTATTAAAACTTTAAGTGCAACTTTGGAAATAATTTATAATTCTATTAGTAGTTTAGGCAAAAACCTTTTCAACTGTTAACTTTATTGCCTACGAATCATTACTTTGTAAGGTTCTGATAAAGCTTAAAACTCAACCATTTCATTCTATACTCTATTCTTCTTGTTAAAATTTCTTGAAGATTTTTATCTTCAAGTAGTGGATTTCTTTTCTTCAGGATCATTGTTTTCTGATCTGATAGACAAGAAGATCCTTTTATCTTGTCTTTTTTATTAATTTCTTGTGTTTATTTTTATTCGATTACCTTTTCACATCTTTTATTTCAAACTTCTTTTTGAATTTGATCACAGATTCTTTTTTGCATTTTTATTATTCACATTTTTGCTATTCTTCCTATACATTTACCTTAACATTTTAGATCTGCCACTTCTAGAATAAGGTTGGTACAAAAACTTAGTATATTCTGATTGATTCCAAAAGTCTGTTTTATTACTTTAGTGATTTACTTATCAAACTCTTCTATTTCTTCACAGTCATTGATAATCAGCCTGAAATTTTTTCTTTTGATCTTTCTCTTTCTTTTTTACAATAGCTTTTTAAAGTTTCTAATAATTCCATCGATTCCTTTATTCCATATCTTTTGTAGTTGATCTTTATAGGCTGAATATTCTAGCAAATATTCTATGGTTTCATC